TAGGAGAGGCTATTGGAGAGAGACATCATGCTTGGGAAGGTTTAAGGATAGCAAAAGAGAGGAAGACTTTCAAACAGGTGAACTGACACAGCAACTGCAGCAATGGGCTCACATGCATCAGATATTGTGAGGATGGAACAGGTTAGGACAGGGTTCAAATCTCTTGTCCATGGGGCTGCAGTAAGTCATACTTGAACATGGGCAAAATTCTGAATTGTGCAGTAAGCAACAAAAGAATATGAACGTAATACATAATCACTGTATCAAAAAATTGGTCAACATTAAACCATTTCAGGAAGTAGCATATGATCAAGAAAGAAGGCATTGGTAAAAATAAGGTCTTAAGAACTGGTGGAATATCATTCAAAGGGTCTCAACAACAAATATAGCCGTGAACATACTCACTAACCTATATAAAAAAATTTAGAAGACAGCTACTTGGTCAACTGACTGGAATAAATACATACTTGTTCCCATTTAGTAGAAAAAAGAAAAGATAAAAACTCTGTGGGAATGTTCTATTTTGTTATATAGTGCCATTTCTTTGGATCAAATGTTATTGTTATGTCAAGTTGCTTGCAACTAAACTAAAGACGACCCTATGCACAATATCTCTGAACCCTGCCCTATCCTAAGCCAGTCTTACTGTCTCTAACACACCTACCCCTGTTGCCCCAGTTACTGTGTCACTCCATCTCATCCAGCATCTTCCACTTCCTAGCATTATGTCCTTCTTTAAGTATTAGTCCTTTCTGGCAATATGCCCAAAGTATATCAGATGGAGTTTCAAAATCCTTGCCTCCAAGGAAAAACTTGGTTTCTCTAGGTCCCTCTCCAGGACAAACTTCTTTGGTCTCTTGGCAGTCAATGGAATGTTCAAAACTCTTCTCCAGCACTGCAACCCAAAGGCACCAATTCTTTTTCTGTCACCTTTAGTTATTGTCCAGCTCTCTGATATGCAGAAAGTAATTACAAAGACCTTGGCCTGGATCAGGTGCACCTTAATATCTAGACTGACATCGTTGCTCTTTAACACTCTGATGAGG